GTATGACAACACAGAGTTACCTGGCACGTCTGGGTCGACTCCCACCACGTTACCAGTGGGCACACCTCCCCAGTCACCGGTCAGTGCGCAACCAGAACTTCAAGCGCCACAGGTGGAACAGAGTTTACCGATGCATGGCCAGGAAGGCGACGGAGAGCCCGTGCTGCGACGATCTTCTAGAGAGCGACGCCCACCACAACGTTTTCTGGACTATGTTTAGTGACTGTTCGTACCTTGCAGACAGTGACTGCTAGTGTTGTGTAGACAGTGACTGCTAGTGTTTTGCAGACAGCGACTGTTTCCGTGTGCAGACAGGACTGCTTTAATGTGAGTTGTGCAAGCAGCACATAAACTCTTAAGGGGGGAGTGGATGTAGTGTCGTACAGCAACACCCTGTGACAAGTCGTAGTTGTAGCGCCTTCTACGAGATGGCGCCACCACCTTGTCTATGTACAGCACGGCACGAGGCAAGTAAAATTCATTTTCTTCCGGATCGGCACACAGTCGGGTTCTTGTCTGGGTTTCTCCCCTTCCGCGGCCGTCCGGCCCGGAACACTACAGACTCGATTTGAGGTGAAATTTCACTGTGCAGAGAAACTATGCTAAATACCATGCGTTTTGAAGAGTACTTGAAATAACAGACTTATATTGCCGGCCACAGTACTCGGCAAATGTCACTGTGTAAATTAGTAGCCTCCTGATGGTGGACGGAGACTCACGAGATTATTGTGCACATCAAAGAAGTGTGCATCAGACACAGTGGAGGCTGATGTTGGAACCAGGCGCATATCCAGGGGCGAGGCCCAGGGTTCTCGGGACCACCTGCAAAATTTGATGGCACGCCCTCTCCCTCACCCAGGCCGAACTGACAACGATGGGCCTCCCCCCTCCCCTCAAAAAAGAACTCCTGGCTATGTGCTTGGCTGGAGCAGTAGTATACCGATAGATCTTAGGTCTGCATTTGTTAAAGACACACATAATGTGTCGCAATTGGACGTTGAGTTTAGGCAACACGACACAGTGGTAAATTCCAAAAACTCTTCTACACATGTCGGGTAAGGGATATGGTCGTGGAATGCCTGTACACGTGTAAAACCTTACTGTCTCAGGCAAACTGCCCACGGATAAGTCGCACAATGAGTGCAATCAATGTGATCTGAACCCGAGGCTGCGGTAAGGAAAAGAGAAACTTGGAAGCAGAAGAATATGACACAAGCAAGAGGGTGACATCTTAACAGCAATTAGTTCTCAATTTGTTAGCACAAGACTTTTTTCCAGACTCACTACATTGTGCCCTCAGAGAAATTTAGAGGCAATATACTGCAAATTTTATTTTGGTTGATTACGTGCGCGGAAAGACATTTCTGGCTAGCTAAACTCGTGGAGAAAAACATTCTTCGCTTTCTGACGTAGCGTGAGGAGTGACCATAAGAACGCCGCAAAGTTTCCTCCTCCCTGCGCGCGCTCAACTTCGCAACTTTTGACGAAAAATCCCCCGCAATCCCTAGGCGGTGCACGAGAGCACGAGACAGCGCGGGGAGGCGAGCGTTCAAGCCGCTCGCTGTACATTGTCTTTGAGCTCTCTAGCGCCGACAATCCCGTCATGCCTCGCCCAGGCAAGGAGCGAGAGCAGACGACGAGAGTTTGTCTGATATATGATGCGGCATTCGCACAGCGGAACCGAAAGAAAAAGTTGGTTTTCTGCTCAAAATCGCGTCCCGCGGGCCACAAACCCAAACGCGAGCTTGAATTGTAAGCGTCTGATATTTCACGAAGGGGGGAATCGACGACCCGTGTTTTATTTGCAACATTTGAGTCACTTTCTTGCCGTGCAGACGCTGAAACCTACCAGCGTTTAATGAAAGGCCCAGGACAAACGCAGAGGCCGCGAGATATCGCATCATGTATGTGCGGGTGAAAAGTGGAACATTTTCGACAAAGCTCCCTTGCCAGAAACCCGTGAGGCATTTACTCAGCGTCCGGGAAGGCGAAACATGGAAACGTTGCCCGAGGCTCACGCAAAGTCATATTTGAACGGCAGCTATCTTGCCCCGTCGTATTTTTTATTTTTTTTTTGAGAAAGCTGTCGTTTTTAATGCCCTCACAAGGGAAATAAAAAGTCTCACGAAACGTATTGTTAGATGTTCGAAAGAACTAGATTTAAGCCGCATCTTTTCAGTGGTTCACTCATAATACTATGCTTAAAACGAAGCAAGCTCTTGCGCGTACAGTGCCATCAATTTTCTCAAGTGTATGCTGTTTTGTAGTCAGCTGGTTTCGGAAACTTACGCCATCTGTAGATATTTCTAACAGCCGAGTTCCTTAATTGGAAGTCATCGCAAACATAAGTTACACGTTGCAGCAACCAAAGTTTGTAGATAAACGATGGCAGCGACTGCGCTCACGCATGCCCACCCATCACGTCGAACAAAAAGGCGCTAGTTTCGGTTTGAGGTCGGTACTTTTCTACAACACCTACGGCGTCAGCACCAGTTTGCACTCGGTGCATTCGGCAAGTTCGTTAGGGGCCTGTTCTCCGTGCAGCACTCCGTGGGTGCAATGCAATAGAACTCTCACAGTGCAAGTCTGGATCGCGGATCGGGAGCCCGTCTCAGGCCTCACCGCGGCTATTGCGTGACAACAGGCAATACGCCGCGTCCTGTCTAGTTCTCCCTTCGGTTTCGTCCTTGCTGTTTTGGCGTATTACACCATGAGGCAATACACGCAAGTCTAAGGGAGAAACACGCAAAAATAGGAAGCTTGTATGCGGTGTTCGAGGGCGAGTATTTTATGACGTGCTGCGACGATTATATCAGGTGCTTAAAGATCAAATAGACATTCGTCAAACTTTCGAAAATTGAATAATAAAATGACCCGGAGGACCACCGATTTTACCGAAGTCGCTTGCTTCGGTTGCTAAATAAATGGCGCGTTCAGCGACTGAACGGCACGCTCCGAGTTTCAGTTTGTCACAGTTAACGCCCAACAAAGTCGCCCTCCACCCTCAACCACACAACATTTATTTAAACAAGATTGGTATTCTAACGCGTTTAATATTCTTGCCCACAATATTAACTGTTATTTGGGGAAGCACGATAGCCGTTTCATTATTGAGAACAACCTACTAACGTAATAAAATTGAGTTTTCCCGTCTCTCCTATAGCATGCATTAGCTCATGTCAAGCAATGACTGCCGGTGGTGCCGCTCGACCCCAGCAATACAGGCCTATATCCGCGATCCAGCCTACTAAGAGATCAGTGGTGCCAGTGCTATTAGACATAAATCGTTTATTTGCATTGGTACACCCATACCTGCCGGATGTCGGGACGAGGCGCAAAACCGTACATCCGGCCAGTATTGAAGCCGGTTTTCGGCTGAAATTGCCTCGACACTCGCCAAGAAGCAACGCGCTTCTTTGGCGACTCGTTTACGTAATTTATTTGTTCAGTCATTTTATTGTGTCCTGGGTCACTGTGTACACCCCAAAAAAGAAATGTGCTGTGGTAATTACACCTTGACGAGAAGCAGGCACGTGGCCAGGATTTTGTTTCAAGGGGAGGGGGGGGGGGGGGGGGGCGGCCATGACAAAGTGCTCTATGAGGGGGAGGGGGGAGAGGAGGCCTCAGCAAATGGAAGATTTCGGGGGGGGGGGGGGGGGGGCCTTATGGTTCCCCCCGGCCCCGCCCTGGCTACGTGCCTGACAAGAAGGGGTATTGTAGTTTTACATCTTAAAAAGGTGTAGTGCATTATCACACGTTTTAAGGAACGTGTTTAAAAAATTACGAGTTTTTAAAGGTGTGAGGTTTACATTTTTTTTATAAGGTCTATTGATACACTTATTAGAGGGTTATTTATGGGACACCCCACTTACATGTATAAAGGTGTGAAAATGTTGAATGTGTATATACCTCTAACTGAAGAAAATCTCTTTCATGTGATTACATCGCGTGCCGATGAAACAATCTGTCAATGACACCGCGTTCGATGAACTGATTTGACCGCCAATAAGCAACGACTGCCAGCAGAATTTCGGGAGAATAATTCTGCCGGCTGCCGGGAGACTCGACCCTACCCTAGAATTATAACGGCTCTTGTTTGTTTTCCAACATTCTGAATTGTATACCAACTTATTAGTAAGTACCTCTTCGGATATTACAGAAAAAATCGATGGCAGCCGCAAAAACTCTGACAGCCCGACTCACAGTGATGTGGGAGACTGACAGGTGCTCGTCAGTCGCCACCATGCCTTGAAAGCCACCGGTTCCGAAGAACCGGAGCGCGCAGAGAACTTGTGGTTCCACGGTCATAATACACGCGATTGTCGGCCGCCTCGAAGTCCGGGCGCTGAACGAAGCTCGTCGCAGAGTCAACGCGCAACGGCTTTCGATAGCCGGTACTGTGGCCGAAAGTCGTCGTCGGGGAGTTGCAAGGCGTCCCCGGTGGTCTCGGTAGCGACGCCGATGATGGCGGAAGATAAGCTCGGCCGGAGCGTATGGCACCACCATGTTGACAAAGTTGAACTTCGCCTCGATCCGAAGCGAAGATCTCGAGCTCAAACCACGGCTCTCGCAAAGTTCGGAAACATCACTTTGACGTCAGCGACAACTTCGACAAACGAGGTTTTTTTTTTTTTTTAACACAAACTTTGGAGGGATTTGGAGCGTCAGTCGGTCGCCTAGGGACAATCTGCAAAGCATTAATTTTAGCTTGGAGTAGGGATGTAATAACAAACGGGCGCTACGTCATCGGCGAAGCCGTTCAGTCAGCGGGCTCCTCGCGCCCCTCACGCGCGACTCGATGAACTTCGCTACATTCTGCCTCTCTCAAAGAAATGAGCGTTCGAATGATTGACACCTTGCTCGGCGTGACGTCAGCGTCGCGCGAGTCCAATTAGCGCGTTCCGCAAACTTTGGGCACAAAGTTGTGCTTGACGAGATTAGCGACCCTGGTTTGTGTTCTTTAGGGTGAAGCTTTAAACTTAACATTATCTTTGTTTGGTTCACTGTCTCGCCAGGCAATTTATATCATCCTTCAGGATAGTGACGATAGTCTTCCTTATTTTTTCAACGTTACCCACGCATTCAAGAGAGAGTGAGTTGAGAGGTTTCACAGACTTCTTCTCAAAAACTGATGCAGGAATATTACCCTTCTTCAAAAATGACGCTGAGCTGTAACCCCCCTGTGTCTTTTTCTTCCACTTCATAGTTTGTCTTGTCCTTACCACTTTCTCTAATTTGTACATGATTTATTTAGACATCTTGTTCTTGTGATACACACCTTGTAATTGTAGAAAACGCTGCCAGAGTCCCTGGGACAGGTGATTGCGACGTGCTTGCCATCGACAGCTCCTAGGCAGTTGGGGAACTGCCACCTCCGCCTGAACCCCTCCGCGATCTCCACCAACTCAGCCTCAGTAGGAGGCTAGAAAGAGAAGCCATTAGTGGAGCCTAACATGCCCTATGAAGTGTGACAAGTGGCCATACAAAAATACGAAGGTTCCCACAGCCAAGATCAAAAAGAGCGATTGTTGACATATTCCAATAAAGACTGGAGTAGAGAAACATGTTAGAAGAGGGTATGTGATAAAGAAGAAGCATGCTTCACACAATAAAGGTCACTAAATTTTAAACAAGGAGAAAAGCAAGTTACAAGGACAAAATGAAGTTGCGAAACATTCTTGTTTAAAGTGTTTTCGGCACTTCGTTGTATCATGGAATGTAGCAACCCAATCTATCGATTCTTATGAAAGTATTTTTGCTGAAATGAAATGCTTACATTCTGGGGAAAATTAAGCACCTAGAAAGACGTCTCATCCTGTTCATGTCCATTTTGTTCCTTTCTTTCACATGCAGAGAGGGCTTAAAGTCCCCCTCCAGTCTGGGGGGGGGGGGGGGGGGGTCTCTCTTAGCTCGAGCACAGGTACAGGCTGTTCATGTCACTTAAGCCCAGCCCCGCCCGGCGGTTCGCTAGCTCTTTTAGACAGCCTGCCCGGCCCGATGCTAATTTTCACGTACCCGCTGAGGCCCGCTGTATTTTCGCCCAATATGTATAGCTCACAAGTTGCGCGGCATGGCAGCTTGCTTGCCACTGTTACACATGTTGACTACGGTGCTTCATAATCACTAAAGCAAGCATCTTTATTTTTTTTTCTGCTATTATTACTTGGATTAATCAATCTGTGGGCATAAACAGCTCATTAAAAAAATCCCTTCTATCGTTTTGTGCTTTTGTGAGAAAGCACACATATTGAACATGACTAAAAATAAAAATGGCAAGCAACAGTAAACAGAACCATGTGCCAAAGCTGCAAAGGAAGGGAAACGTCACGACAGGTTCGGACAAAAGACGGGCAAAGTTCTAAATTGCCTACTCTCGTTGTGTAAAGCAATCGAAAAAGAAAAGAAAAAAACAACAACCGCCGTCTCTTGCAGTGGTTTCTGAGAAACTGTTTAGCAAAAGCACCCTTGAGACGAACCTCTTCATCCATATTGTGGATGCACGCACTTGTATGTACAGATGATGTACGCCTGCGAGGGTATGCAATGTCTAGGCGCTTGCTTATCTGTGCGTGTTAATAGAAGAGCGACTACGATAGCGGCGCCGCAGGCAACGAAAATGAACACCGTGGCGCTGGTGCTCTGGCAGAACATTCGGTGCACAAACACACATGCTTTCAGCATTTGTGCCTCCCCGACTGTAGTCCTTCCCGCAACCCCCCAAACAAACTTCGAAACACAATGCTGCTAAAAAAAAGTTAAAAAGTAACGCTTTTTTGGGGGGAGGGGGGGGGCTCTATTTGTTCTTTTTCCAAAACATTAAACCGACACATCTACAGCTATGTGTTCTTACAATTTACCAGGACTCTGTTCCCCAAGCGCAGGACTTAGACAGAGTAACCTCGGGTACAACGGGAGGGTCTCCAACCCCTGCCGAAATTGGAGGAGGAGGTCCCGGACTCGAAGCACTGATGCAGATATGACGTACTAAGCTTTTTCTCGAGGTTCTTGTCGGATCTCTCACCGAGTATCCTTTCCAACTGAGTAATTATGGTAACAATAATGTATGAATTGCAACTTTCTCAAAGTTTTGTTCGTGTTAGCATGGTTGCGATCTGTAGTAGATTTGTTAGTTTTCTTTGTAAGTTGATAAACCCACCTGTTTGCATTTTTATAAATGACTACAAATTTTTATCAATAGAGCTACGTCGCTGACTTTTTTCGCTTCAAGCATAACCATGTTTTAATTTTTTCCTATTTACAAAGAAATGTGAAACATATCACATCAAGTTAGTAGAACATACCTTCATGAATGGTTGGTGCAGCCTCTCCCACAGGGCCCGACACGTGACATGGACTGCCTGTCGCGCTGTTTCCAGCCCAACCCTGTATAGCAGGGCCACGTCCTTGATCTGTTGGCCAGATGATAGGTAGCTTCAATAGAACAGAATGAAATACAGAGTGCAACCTTTGCTTGCTTCATTGATGCATCTTACTTCACATGACCAGTCTACGCAAGTTTGGCTGACTGATTGTAACCTTCGTCGCTAGCTGTCGTTCGTTGGAAGGGCTATGTGATGCGAATGGGAAGTTTTCATTGCCATATTTTTCACACATTACGCGCAGGCAGGCTCAAAGAAATGGCTATCACCCTAGACGGGAATATCTGACCCACATGTAAACAATAGAGGCAGCTTCTGAGAATACGATACCTCAGGGCAATCGCAAGGCGTTCTTCCGATGGAAGCGGCTCACGGATGAAGAACTGCCGTGTCAGGTCCTCCTTCACCATGTCGTGCAGTTCATCAAAAGTCGGAGGCGTCATGCGGTAAAACCTCACAAAGTAGTCGACGTCGCCGTCTCTCATACGTTTCATCTGAAGTGAAGAAATCACAAAGTGTTATGCATGCGAATGCTCATAAGTCACGTGAGAGGAGCTTACCGCAGTATGGTAAAGTCCTTCGCTTCGCTTCTCGAAGATTGGGCGAACCCACCATTTACGCTCTACTTGTGCTCTTTTCTTAACTAGCAGCTGCAAGAGCACGAGCCTCTTGCGCAAAAGAAGCACGTCCAGCTCGCGCTCCATTTTGTCCGCGTCACAGAGCTTTGTTAAAAGTAATATATTAATCCGAGAGACAAAGGTAATAAATTGACACTATCGGCAATAACAGCAGCAACGCAACCTCTGATCTGTAGCGGCCAGCGTTTTGGCGCGAGAGATGGTGATGCCAATGGGCATACCTAAAGGTGGATGAGGCGTACGGAATAAAAAGGATGAAAATAAGAGATATTGAGCATAATTGGAATTGCTGTAATAAAAATGGTGCTTAATATTAATAAAATTAAATATTACGGCATGCATCTATTATTTAACGCGCGACTCCTATTTCAGCTTTGCTTTTGTTTCTCAAGCGCGTCTGGCTACGTTGGGCGGACGCTTCGGAAACGCAGACGCGAAGCGCTGCCCGGTAGCGCCGCGTGTGGTTTGACTGGGCGCACGCGTCTGGCTTAGCGCGCGCGCCAAGCTGAGACGCACGTCTAGACGCACTGGAAAACGCACCATGTGGGCTAGCCTTTAGAACGCTGAACGCCTGCGTCCGGCGTTCGGATTTTTCATTCGAACGTGTTCGACGAGTGCCGTGGAGACAAAGGCGGCTAGCTTTGAGAGTCTACCCCCTAATCATTCGAACCAGAGCGCGGCCTTCTGACGTCTTCTCGCGCTCTCGTCTCCTCCTCTCCCTCGGTTTCAGGCGCAAAAAACGCTGAACACACCAGCCGGAGGCGGGTTCCAGAATCCGTAGCCATAGTGACAGCGAGACGCAATAACAGGGGGTTTCAAGTGCACAGATTTCTGTCCCCTCCCCACCTCCCCTCCACCCTCCTTTTACCACTAAAGTGGTAACGGATTTGGTGGAGTACTGGGAGCACTGGCGAGCGAGCCATAGTGACAGCGAGACGCAATAACAGGGGGTTTCAAGTGTACGGGTTTCTGTCCCCTCCCCACCTCCCCTCCACCCTCCTTTTACCACTAAAGTGGTAACGGATTTGGTGAGTACTGGGAGCACTGGCGAGCGAGCCATAGTGACAGCGAGACGCAATAATAGGGGGTTTCAAGTGCACGGGTTTCTGTCCCCTCCCCACCTCCCCTCCACCCTCCTTTTACCACTAAAGTGGTAACGGATTTGGTGGAGTACTGGGAGCACTGGCGAGCGAGCCATAGTGACAGCGAGACGCAATTATACGGGGTTTCAAGTGCACAGGGTTCTGTCCCCTCCCCACCTCCCCTCCACCCTCCTTTTACCACTAAAGTGGTAACGGATTTGGTGGAGTACTGGGAGCACTGGCGAGCGAGCCATAGTGACAGCGAGACGCAATTATAGGGGGTTTCAAGTGCACAGGTTTCTGTCCCCTCCCCACCTCCCCTCCACCCTCCTTTTACCACTAAAGTGGTAAAGGATTTGGTGGAGTACTGGGAGCACTGGCGAGTGAGCCATAGTGACAGCGAGACGCAATAATAGGGGGTTTCAAGTGCACAGGTTTCTGTCCCCTCCCCACCTCCCCTCCACCCTCCTTTTACCACTAAAGTGGTAAAGGATTTGGTGGAGTACTGGGAGCACTCGCGAGCGAGCCATAGTGACAGCGAGACGCAATTATAGGGGGTTTCAAGTGCACGGGTTTCTGTCCCCTCCCCACCTCCCCTCCACCCTCCTTTTACCACTAAAGTGGTAACGGATTTGGTGGAGTACCGGGAGCACTGGCGAGCGAGCCATAGTGACAGCGAGACGCAATTATAGGGGGTTTCAAGTGCACGGGTTTCTGTCCCTCCCCACCTCCCCTCCACCCTCCTTTTACCACTAATGTGGTAACGGATTTGGTGGAGTACTGGGAGCACTGGCGAACGAGCTATAGTGACCGCGAGACGCAATAATAGGGGTTTTCAAGTGCACGGGTTTCTGTCCCCTCCCCACTTCCCCTCCACCCTCCTTTTACCACTAAAGTAGTAACGGATTTGGTGGAGTACTGGGAGCACTGGCGAACGAGCCATAGTGACAGCGAGACGCAATAATAGGGGTTTTCAAGTGCACGGGTTTCTGTCCCTCCCCACCTCCCCTCCACCCTCCTTTTACCACTAATGTGGTAACGGATTTGGTGGAGTACTGGGAGCACTGGCGAACGAGCTATAGTGACCGCGAGACGCAATAATAGGGGTTTTCAAGTGCACGGGTTTCTGTCCCCTCCCCACTTCCCCTCCACCCTCCTTTTACCACTAAAGTAGTAACGGATTTGGTGGAGTACTGGGAGCACTGGCGAACGAGCCATAGTGACAGCGAGACGCAATAATAGGGGTTTTCAAGTGCACGGGTTTCTGTCCCCTCCCACCTCCCCTCCACCCTCCTTTCACCACTAAAGTGGTAACGGGTTTGGTGGAGTAGTGGGAGCACTGGCGAGCGAGCCATAGTGACAGCGAGACGCAATAATAGGGGTTTCAAGTGCACAGGTTTCTGTCCCCTCCCCACCTCCCCTCCACCCTCCTTTTACCACTAAAGTGGTAACGGATTTGGTGGAGTACTGGGAGCACTGGCGAGCGAGCCATAGTGACAGCGAGACGCAATTTAGGGGTTTTCAAGTGCACGGGTTTCTGTCCCCTCCCCACCTCCCCTCCACCCTCCTTTTACCAATAAAGTGGTAACGGATTTGGTAGAGTCCTGGGAGCACTGGCGAGCGAGCCATAGTGACAGCGAGACGCAATTATAGGGGTTTTCAAGTGCACGGGTTTCTGTCCCCTCCCCACCTCCCCTCCACCCTCCTTTTACCACTAAAGTGGTAACGGATTTGGTAGAGTACTGGGAGCACTGGCGAGCGAGCCGTAGTGACAGCGAGACGCAATTATAGGGGTTTTCAAGTGCACGGGTTTCTGTCCCCTCCACCCTCCTTTTACCACTAAAGTGGTAACGGATTTGGTGGAGTACTGGGAGCACTGGCGAGCGAGCCATAGTGACAGCGAGACGATATTATAGGCGTTTTCAAGTGCACGGGTTTCTGTCCCCTCCCCACCTCCCCTCCACCCTCCTTTTACCACTAAAGTGGTAACGGATTTGGTGGAGTACTGGGAGCACTGGCGAGCGAGCCATAGTGACAGCGAGACGCAATTATAGGGGGTTTCAAGTGCACGGGTTTCTGTCCCCTCCCCACCTCCCCTCCACCCGCCTTTTACCAGTAAAGTGGTAACGGATTTGGTGGAGTACTGGGAGCACTGGCGAACGAGCCATAGTGACAGCGAGACGCAATAATAGGGGTTTTCAAGTGCACGGGTTTCTGTCCCCTCCCCACCTCCCCTCCACCCTCCTTTCACTACTAAAGTGGTAACGGGTTTGGTGGAGTACTGGGAGCACTGGCGAGCGAGCCATAGTGACAGCGAGACCCAATTATAGGGGTTTTCAAGTGCACGGGTTTCAGCCCCCTCCCCACCTCCCCTCTACCCTCCTTTTACCACTAAAGTGGTAACGGATTTGGTGGAGTACCGGGAGCACTGGCAAGCGAGCCATAGTGACAGCGAGACGCAATTATAGGGCGTTTCAACTGCACGGGTTTCTGTCCCCTCCCCACCTCCCCTCCACCCTCCTTTTACCACTAAAGTGGTAACGGATTTGGTTGAGTACTGAGAGCACTGGCGAACGAGCCATAGTGACAGCGAGACGCAATAATAGGGGTTTTCAAGTGCACGGGTTTCTGTCCCCTCCCCACCTCCCCTCCACCCTCCTTTCACCACTAAAGTGGTAACGGGTTTGGTGGAGTACTGGGAGCACTGGCGAACGAGCCATAGTGACAGCGAGACGCAATAATAGGGGTTTTCAAGTGCACGGGTTTCTGTCCCCTCCCCACCTCCCCTCCAACCTCCTTTTACCACTAAAGTGGTAAACGATTTGGTGGAGTACTGGGAGCATTGGCGAGCGAGCCATAGTGACAGCGAGACGCAATAATAGGGGGTTTCAAGTGCACGGGTTTCTGTCCCCTCCTCACCTCCCCTCCACCCTCCTTTTACCACTAAAGTGGTAATGGATTTGGTGGAGTACTGGGAGCACTGGCGAGCGAGCCATAGTGACCGCGAGACGCAATAATAGGGGTTTTCAAGTGCACGGGTTTCTGTCCCCTCCCCACTTCCCCTCCACCCTCCTTTTACCACTAAAGTGGTAACGGAATTGGTGGAGTACTGGGAGCACTGGCGAACGAGCCATAGTGACAGCGAGACGCAATAATAGGGGTTTTCAAGTGCACGGGTTTCTGTCCCCTCCCCACCTCCCCTCCACCCTCCTTTCACCACTAAAGTGGTAACGGGTTTGGTGGAGTACTGGGAGCACTGGCGAGCGAGCCATAGTGACAGCGAGACGCAATTATAGGGGGTTTCAAGTGCACGGGTTTCTGTCCCCTCCCCACCTCCCCTCCACCCTCCTTTTACCACTAAAGTGGTAACGGATTTGGTGGAGTACTGGGAGCACTGGCGAGCGAGCCATTGTGACAGCGAGACGCAATTATAGTGGGTTTCAAGTGCACGGGTTTTGTCCCCTCCCCACCTCCCCTCCACCCTCCTTTCACCACTAAAGTGGTAACGGGTTTGGTGGAGTACTGGGAGCACTGGCGAACGAGCCATAGTGACAGCGAGACGCAATAATAGGAGTTTTCAAGTGCACGGGTTTCTGTCCCCTCCCCACCTCCCCTCCACCCTCCTTTCACCACTAAAGTGGTAACGGGTTTGGTGGAGTACTGGGAGCACTGGCGAACGAGCCATAGTGACAGCGAGACGCAATAACAGGGGTTTTCAAGTGCACGGGTTTCTGTCCCCTCCCCACCTCCCCTCTACCCTCCTTTTACCACGAA